TGAAACTTTATAATTAAAAAAAGAAAAATGCAAACAATTCTTGTAAAAATTCATTATTCATTGAAAATTTTTTTTTCTTCAGACTATAATTTCCTTGATATATATTATTTACAGAAGCAATTAAAACGTTATCTAATAAAATAATTAGATAGTTTTCTTGCAGTTTTTATTTTAAGTTATGGAGCAGAATTTAGGAAAGTTGGTAATAGTTTGGAAAAAAAAATAATTGATTTACATTCTCCAAAGCGTCTTGCTTTTAACTAATAAAAATCATTTCGTTGGTGATTTTAAATTCTAGAAGATTTTATGAAATTAAGTAAGGGAGTGGTTAACAGATGTAAAAAAGTATTTTTACCAAGATTTTCTAAAAATAATAATTTCAAAAATAAATTAATTTATTTGTGAATAAGTCCCGAAAGTTTTATTAAAATCCAACAATTATCTGATTTTAGCAAGAATTTGAAAATTAATGTGATTTTCACTAGAAATGGCGACGTGAAAAAAAAAAAAAAAAAGTTAGAAAGGAGTGAAAAATTTTAAAACATAATTAGGAAATACTTTGCTCAATCCAGTTAATAATAACAGACATTCTGATGATAAAACTGTTTTTATTAAGTTTGGGGCCTCTTTTCATCATGGTAATGCTCTTTTTTCAGTGAATTATTGGAGGTACCTAACTAGGTACCTCCACTTGTTTCCTGAAAAAAATATCATAGCATGATGAAAAAAGACCCCAAACTTAATAAAAACAAAGTTTTATTGTCAAAATGTTCATGTCATTATTAAGAGGAACGACCAAAGCATTTTTTATTATTTTATTAAATTTTTTAATCCTTTTTAGCCTGTTTTGAGTTAAAACACCTTTGGGTAAAAACAGTGATTAAGGTAATATTTACAATTAGTTTTTTAGCGCCTTTTTTCAGGTGAAAAACATATTGATTTGGAAATTCTTGCAAAATTAAAAAAATATTGAGATTTTAATGAAACTTTCAGGACTTATTTACATTATCTGAACTGTTATTTGCATCTTCATTGCCATGTTCACAATGTTTTGGCTGTTGTACGCTCTGACCTTCTTCACATGGCCCAGTGGATAAAGGAGTTGGTTAGATTCAGTGATTAGACCCAAAAAGTTGGGAATTCAGTACTAGGCTACAGCAGTGGTGAACCAAAACTTGAGTTAAAGGGAAATAACAGAGACACTTGAAAGATGCATGGCACATGGAACTAGAACAATCTACCTCTGTGGACGAAATAAAGGGTTCGGTTCGAAATTCCAATCACCTGAAGGCAGGAGAGAACAGCAACCAAAACGTTGTGAATATGACAATGAAGATGAGGATAACAGTTTAAATAATAATCATAATACCTCTTCTGAGAGATATATAGACAGATACTTTCAGGACTTATTCACAAATGAAATTATTTAAAAAAATTTTTTTTTCTTTTTTAGAAAACCTTGGTAAAAAATATTTTCTTTTTACATATATTACCCCCACCCACTTAATTTCATGAAATTTCGAGAAATTAAATTATAATCTCGAAATTTCTTTTATTAGTTGAAAGCAGGACACATTGGAGAATTTAAATCGTCAGTTTTTTTTTGTTTTTTTTTTTTTAAACAGGACTCTCAGTAACAGAAAATCTGAATTGTAAAATAAAAAAAAATGCTATAAAGTATGACATTATTTCATTATAAAATAATGTCATAAAATTTTTATTAGAATTGCTTTTATAAATAAGATTTATTAAGGACTCTATCGTCTTACGAAAAAAAAATTCTATGAATAATAAATTTTTACAAGAATTGTTTTCATTTTTTTTTTTTTTTTTTTAATTATAATTTAAACATTCTAAAATTCTGCATTACTTCAATCCGGTTAGGTGAAGTGTGAAAAGAAAAATACATTTATGAATCAAAAACTAAAAAGCTTAAAAGTTGTTTATCCCCAATATTTTTAAAATAATTTTTTTTTTATATATATATATAGAAAAAATCCCATTTTCTTATGGATGTCCGTCATGTATTTTGAGTTGTTCTCCCTAAAAATTTGGCCGTCTGCAATTCTTTCATTTTCATTTCTGTGTTTCATCGTGTTTAGTTTACTTCTCAACAGGCTTTGCAAATCATCCCTTCAAAAATTTAAAGTAATTTTTACTTTTTTAAATTCCTATTTCATTAAATATTTTTATTTTATTTATTTTAGTGCGGTTTCAATTGAATTAATATTTTTTGTTACTAGTGTTTTTACATTTTACTTTTTTAAGTTTATCCTTTTTGGTGAGAGTTATTTTGATAAAAACGTAGGACTATATATTTTTTTTAAAATTTGTCACTGGGGCATTATCTAAATTTACCAGAAATACTTACGTTTAGGTAACATTTCATTTGTTTCAAGTCAGATTGATTTAACTTTAAATTTGCTAATTTTCAACAAATAACGTGTCACAAACATATATTTGATTTTTGGAAGATTTTTAAAACCTAGAATTAATTAACTGTTGTTTACAAATCTGTCAAAATGGCCGATATTTATCGATTTTCTGAAAGCGACCAAAAATTTGAGATTCCAATCAATATAATTTCTATTTGAAATACGCCAGAGTATTTTGCTTAAACTGGAAATAGTAAATTTAATAATTTAGCTTTCAATTAAAACTAAAAAGAAAGGTAAAGAATGCTTTTTAAGAATTAATTAAAAAACCTATCGAAAATTTAGTGGAGTTTGCTAAAAAATAAAAAAAAAAAAAAAATTACCACACGTCTTTTAAAAGCCAATTTCATCTTATTCTTTTTTAATGTTTAAATACAAGACAGCATTAAAATTGTTCTTTTAAATTTAATAATGTCACCTGAAACATAGATAAGAAGACTAGAGAGACATGAAAAGAAGAGAATAAAATCAATTTTTCCTAAGTTACAAAAAAAAATTAAATAGTTATTATGATTTGGTTTTTCTCCATTTGATTGTCACTTTTTGTTAAGTTTTTAAACTGTAGAAAAAATTACGCGCGCACAAATACACACATTACAAATGTAGCTTCAGAAATAACACACAACAAAGTATGGGAAAGAAAAAAATATCTCAACAGGTTTCGCCGATGATAAAGGCGTCACCAGCCAAAAAAATTTTTATTTCACATTGAAGTCTAAAGTAACGCGACGTTAAGCGTTTGAAAGCATATGGTAGCTTCATAGAAATTAATTTTTTAAAATTAATTCTAAAGTCTAACTCTTTGATGCTTTAAAAAGTGCTTCAGTACCTAATTATTAGCAATAAAAACATTTAAAAAAACAATTTTTAAAAAAAATCTGGATAAATAAAAAGATTTTATTTTTAAACAATCACAGAACTGCCTGAAAGTAACAAGGAACAGTTTTTTCTACGAGAATAACCCTTGATTTTATCACGTGACTAAATATACATGTGCTTATTATTATGACATTGTCTCTTCTAAGAGATTACGAAACGGAATTTCCAGCAAGGAACCATCTCCCATTTAGGAAGCACGAAAAACATCCATGCCTAATTTAATCAACAGTTACAAACAATACATATTTGTTAGATTTTACTATTTTTACTGCTTCCCCCCCAAAAAAAAGATCAAAACGAGAAATTCTAAAAAGTGGAAATACAAGGACAAGTCAACAAATGTGATTGACCAAATATCGATCAATATTCGCTTATTGAACAGTTTTAGAGGTGATCTATTTCTAGCTTAGTCCAGTTGGAGAGATAAGAACAAGACACTTAAACATTCAATTCTATTTTTATCCATACATTCCAATTTCAGCCAAAACTCTTGTGGTTGTCGACACTTTATTGATTTCTACGGTGTGTGTGTGTGGGGGGGATACGGGAGAAGACAGAGGTCAACATGGCACACTGACAGTCTTGTAATAATTGCAAGGGTCATATAAAAATAGAACAGCCTGCTATTCGCAAACAAATTATTAATCAATATTATTAAGTTTTGTTTTGAGAGAAACAAAAAGTCATATTTCCCTTCATTTGTTGAATTTAATTTACTTTATGTTTTTACTAGAATAAATAATATTCAGGTAAAATTGCAAGAAAATATTTTTAAAAAAATGCGTGGGAAGTGTGTGTGTGTGTGAAGGTCACTTAAGGTAAGGGTCAACAATCAACAGTAAACTAAACATTAAAACTAAAACATAAAAAAGCTAAATTTTATATTTCACATGCATAACAAAATTTATAGGAAATACCCGATAAATTGCCCCCCTCGTTTCCGAACTGTAAGAGCTTTATTAATTTTATTTAAATTTTAACAAACTTTCAGGAAGATGGAAAGCGAATAAAACTGAATAATAAATGCAATTCACTGCCAATAAAGTGGCATATGATGCCAATTTATTCACATAAATCGTTTTGAAAAGCTTTATTCACCTAAAAATAAACTTTTGAAAAATTTATCAACAAAAAACTTAAACTTCGTCGATCATTCTTTAAGAAATTATTCTCTCAAATCAGAAACTAATAAAAAAAAATAAGTAATAATGAAAAATTGAAACGTACGATTACAATATATATAAATATTTTTTTTTGTTTTCCCCCAAAAAAGGTCAAGAGGAAATAGTTTTTAAACCACGTGGGATGATCATAAATTCGGACAAAGAACAAGTATTCATTTCTCTCCACCACGAGTTTACAACTATTTTTTTTTATTGAAAAAAAAAGAAAAAAAAAGTGAATCCTACGGACTCTAATTTTATCAACATATTTTCAAAAAGTATACTATATATACTGCAATTATCTTACTTTTTTCACACATTGTTCTAAAACAAAAAAAAAAACTATTCCCGTGCCCCTAGAAACACACTTAACTTATTGTAAAAAAAAGCATTCACATTATTGATTAACAAAAAAAAAGAAAGAAAAAAAAGGCACATGCAAATTAAAAATATTCTACAAAAAGCAAAAGTAAATAAAAAGCTAGAGGATATCAAAATCAAGAAAAGTGATGTATTTATTTACCATTGTCTTTTAGCTTAGCGACTTGCGATTCTTCGTTGACGTTTTCATCATCTGTAATAACCTTAACTTGCACACCTTTCTTGTGCATTGCAATCAGGACTTCAGCCAGGTCGGAATAAGTAATGTGAAAGACACAGACACAGATGGACAATTTGGCGTTGCATAAATGTCGGTATATTTCACTCAAGGACGTCTTCTCATGCGACTGGCGACACTTTGGGCGAATACAACCAGTGTCCAAAATAAAGTTATCCTTGCAGGCGATGCTTATGTCGGGAAACATCAAGATATCTGTAAAAGTTTCTTCAACGTCTGAACTGCCGTCGTCATCATTTGAACCCTTTTTGCTCCGCAACTTTTTAATTGCATATCCGTAAGTTGTGTACAGAGCACCAAATACGACTCCAGACGTGATGGCCCCCAGAAAAAAAGATACCATCGAAGGCATCATTTTGGAAAAATAAGATGAGGAAAACATGGCCGGATTCTGTTATTTCTTTTTTTAAAAGTTAAATACACGTGTTTGACTGTAAGGAAGTTTATGAAATGAAAAAAATTGGTAGTTGATTATGGATGGTCAATGTCAAGGTAAAATTTAAGTTGATAAAATGAATAAGATGATATGATAGTATAAACTCTATTTTAAAGGAGTTTTAAAAAAGAAAACAAGCCTTTCACAATTGCTTTTGGATGTCATTAAACCACTACATACATAAGAAACATCATGTCAACAACCGGCATCCCATCTACTAAATGTCACCTTCGAAACGTTTCCAACCTACGCTTATGTACACCGGTGTAATAGGAGAAAGTTAATGAAATCATATATGAAAATTCTTCGGTGTCGTATCAAAAGAATTCCTTTGTAAAACATTTTCACGTTTTTCGTTTAATTAAAAAATAATTGCAATTACACGCTCGTTATTACCAAAAATTAAAAAAAATGATGATACCAATAATATCAACAGACAAATAAAAACCTAGCTTTTCTAAACTTCATATAGAGTTGAATACATATTTTATTATAGGTAATGGAGTCCTTTTTTGAATGATGAATGGAACTGAACAACAACAATGTTAGTTACAATGATAAAAAATTGAGAATAAAACGAAGATGTTTTAATTATTATTTATTTAAAAAATAATTTTATTGTCATTATCTCAGTTGTAGTGAGTTGTCTAACTGATAACAACAATTAATAAACGAAACGGACTTCCAAATCCAACAGATTGCTTGTAATCATTTAAGCTAAGCAAAGGAGTACAGGTTCACCTATCATTTGGTTCACACTCTTTCTTGGGTTTTGAACAGGAGTAGAGGTTATCCCTTAAGGAGTTAACCCTGCAAACGGAAAAATAATATAAGATTCAAATTTTATTAAATAAATCTGGCCTATCATTTCGGTTCTCAAGGCGACAGCTTGAGGTAGGCCGATAGAACCAGCGATGTTCGAGGTCCAGTCGATCCCTGGATGTCTGTACTTGCAGAGAGAGAGGATCGACGGGACAGTTTGAACAGTTCATCCTTGGGTGGAGTGTCGCGCAGGATCGCAGCTTGGTAGTCCTAATAAAAGACGTTATCCTGAAAAGGACTATTGCATTTCGAGGGCAGACTTTGCATATCATGGGATTGGCTTTCCATATCATGTAGCCGAGGATAGGCTAAAATCTTTAGGATAGACAGTTCTCATGTAGCCGAGGATAGACTTGCATATCATGTAGCCGAGGATATCCCATTTGCATTTTAGAGGAGGCCGGACTGACATTATGTCTGTCTTGGCTTGCTGCTTCGGGGTCAGAATTGCTCAACCCCGAGGCCAAAAATTTTTAAAAAAAAGATATGACAAACAATGTTTTCCACTAAGGCCACTGGTCAAAATGTCTTGTCCATGGTCAGGATCAAAGATCCCTAACAGGTCCAGGCGAAGCCAGTCATTCCTAAAAGTCTTCCGCCAAGAAATGATCCCCCCCCAAAAAAAAATCACAGGCTCCTGTCAAATTTTGGGTGATGACTAAAATACAACAACGCATTCTGATTGGCTGAAAAATATCAATTATGTGTTTGTCAACTAACATCTTTTCCGAATGTATCAATCCTATTAAAATCTTTACCCCTTTGCATTTTAGTGACATTATCGTCTTGCTTGGGGTGAATTGATTTAAAAGAATATAACAAAAATACATTTGTACAAGATCTAAAATTAAAACCCAAATCACAGGAAATTTAATAATACCTAACCATTTGATTGGCAAAATATTTATGTGTTATCAACTAATCTGAATGTACAAAATTACATTTGAAAAATTATGGAGACCATGTGATGTATGAAAATTAACATACAAAATTCAGAAATGGAGAGGAGGTGGAGCTATACCGCACGTGTCGCTATTCTTCATTTCAGACTATATGTTAAAATTCTTTTAACACTAAAAAAGTCTGTATCGCTCTATACTATATAAACTATGCTTTTTCAAACTGTTCAGTTGTCTTGACTTTTCTGTCACGACTCATGTCACTAATTTTTCCATATTTTACTGAACATAATATCCAATTTTGCTAAACAAACAAGCAATTTGCTATATATTTGTGCAATTTTGTTGGCATGATAGCATAAGAAATTTAAAATAAGGGACAGATTTGAACATAAAGGCATTGAGAGAGAGAAAATATCTTCTAGTCTACTGTCTTTTTATATATAAAGAAAACAAACATAAAACTTTCACAGTTAAATGAAATTAATCCAGATAATTTTGCCCTTCTCCACCATTCAGGGAAATAAATTCAGATACCCGAAGTCCAAAATATAATTAAAAGAGAATATAATTTTAATTTATTGTCTATTTCAAGATGGATAATTACAAGGAGTTAAAGCCCTTATTGACTCTAAGAACAATTTAAAACCTGATATTAATTTAAGTTAGGCATTGCTGGAGCAAGTTAAGAACTTAAAAGAAAAATCTTTTAAAGAGGAAGAAGCCATCATCAAAAATCTTCAAGGAGAAATTCGAGCTTTGGATGGTAAAATGAAGGAGATTTGTATCAAAGCCAACATAAATTTAGAGAAAAGTGGTTTTGTGACTGAACAAAGGGATGAATTTGGTTTTTGAGTCAGTGTCAATAATTGGCTTGCTGATATTGAGGAATCTGTTTGATAAATGAGTATTTCCCATGGCAGTGATTGCAGTGTCGGAGTTACCTCCTCCTTCGATCCTTAAACCGGCTGAGGAACAGGTCTTTCGACCTTGAGCTCTCATTTATGCCCCCTACACGCTGTAAACCTGTGGTAGAGACTAGCAAGTTCCCTTTTTAGTTACGTTATATTACAAACCTAGTTGTAATATACTTCTAGACATTTTTAGGCCTTAGTTTCCTTTAGCTAATCTTGACTTATTTTTTTTATAGAGACTTTCCTGTATTAGCTTCCCAATTCTCTTGCTGGTCTCCCTTACCACAAGACAGTGACTTCTCATGGTGGGGATTGTTAGGGACGCCTTCCCTACCCTTACTATCAACCCCCCCATCTCGCGGGCCGAGCGCCATTGTAGGCCCCGGAGGAATCGGATTTCATTCGCGAGTGTCGGTTGGCCTTGGTGGCGTCCCTCGTCCAGTGACCTTTCTCGGCCTGGGAAGGACTTCTATCGTTTGCTAGTGGAGGGTGTCGCGAAGGATCCCCTACGCGAGGATCTCGACATGTCGGACGATGAGTTTCGCTCTCACTGGTCTTGGGCACCAGCGACGGATTACCTCAGTAACCCTGAGTTTTCGCTTACCTGGCGACTGGCTCGGAATCGGTTGCCTCTCAACGACAGGGCCTTCATATGGGGCTTGGCGGACTTGCCAGACTGCGATCGGTGTGGTCTTGGTCTAGAGGAAACGGCTTCGCACGCCTTCTTCCATTGCCCCCGGGTCCGCCCCTTATGGGACCATGTCGGCAAGCTGACGGCTCGTCTCGCTCCCGAAAAGCTTGTGCCCATGGATCGCGCATACGCGTGTGACAATGTGTCGCCCCTGTATCCCGGGGTGAAACGGATGGTGTTTCTCACGCTGCTAGCCACGGCCCGAATGGTGATATGGACGACGCGAGCGGAGGAAGTCTTGCGGGGTAACCGTCTTTCTCATCAGGATCTGATTTGATTCTTTGAGCATCAGCTCAAGACGAAGATTAGAACTGATAGAAAACGCTTGCAGTCGACAGTCTTCAGCGAAAGGTGGGTGACTGAGGCGAGCTTTGTTCATTGTGAACGGGGGCTAGCCTTGATTTTCTTTTTAGGTCAAGCCTACGTTACATCTGGGTGGCTTCCTGTGGTGCCCTCCCCTTGGTTAGGTTAGACAAGCTTTGGTGTACCTAGTTAATGCGAGTAAGTGTTGTTCCCGCCTGCCCCCGGCCACATCTTTTAGTTATGATCCAGCCTGAGATTTTGTTTTGTTTTGTTTTTGCCCCCCACTTTCTATCTCGACTGGGTCAGCTTTATACTTCCCCATGCCCGTATGATTTTTTTTATCACCTTTCCCACTCCCTTAGCGAGAGAGCTGCTTGATTTTGTTCCAATGGACAGAATACAGTGGTCTCCCTGCCTTTTGAGGGTTGGACAGGCCCTACTAACATCAGTTAACATTTAATTTCATTTATGTTAATATTTCAGTTCGTTATTGGGTTCATCCCCTGCCCTCTCATTTTGTCATCTTAGAATTTTGTACATATGTGTTAGGATCATTAAAATTACTATGACATGGGGCGCATTTTGTAGGTCTCCCTAGAGTGGATGTGGTATTATGGTGCATGGAGGATCGATTGGTGATGGACGAGTTCTTATGGTGAATGAGTAAATTGTAATGTCTGAATGGGTCGTGAATCAAATTAGCTAGGTATAAGATAGTTAGTGAAGACCAGCCTTTTACCCCCTCCCCCTTTTCGGCCTTGTGCCACAATTTTGTATTTTTACAAAATAAATCCCGGTTGGCGACTGAAACGATTGGATACACAGGCCCCTAAACCTTCACAGCCAGCTATGTCGATCACTGGGCTGCATATTAAGTTACAATCCCATTTTTTTTATGTCTGCCAACTTGATGATAGTTGGAAACTTTCCTTTCTCTCTTCTTCGCCTACTACTCCTGGCTCCTTGGCCCTGTTTGACTCTTGGCATTCCATCCCTACTGGCTGCCTGCATGTCGTCCATAACCTTTCCCGTACACTATGTTAGTAATTATTACGGGAGGTTACTAATATCGGACTCGACCGGCAAACATGCAACGTCTGCACTAGACCTTTGACATGCCTGAACAATGCCAGCTCTTCATTCCTTCCCAACATGTCAAGTTGGCATCCCGGCCACGACCAACAGCAACTGCAACAACCAACAGCGATCATATGCAACGACCAGCAGCGACCACCTGCATGACCAGCAGCGATCTTCTGTAATGCGGCAACGACCAACATCAACTTC